GATGAACTATGCAATCAGCACGTCCTCGGACGTCTGATGGCATATGTCAGCGTCATTGAGTTTCAGAAAAGGGGACTGCCACACAGGCACATGCTATTATGGCTTACACCTCATTGGAAACTTCGCACAGCTGGGGATGTTAACCATCTAATCCAAGCCGAGCTTCCGGATGACCCGAATAGCCGCCTTTACGCAATTGTCACCAAATGCATGATGCACAGAGCCTGTGGTTTGGCAAACCCAGATTCTCCCTGCATGAAAGATGGCGAGTGTTCCAAAGGATTCCCCAAGCAATACCAACAGGATACGGTGGTTTGTATGGACAGTTACCCAAAGTACCGGCGCCGAAATGATGGCCGCACCGTTATGAACGGGGGTGTCCAACTTGACAACCGGCACGTCGTGCCCTATAACCCCTATCTGCTGCAAAGATTCGATGCTCATATTAATCTCGAAATCTGTGCATGGTTCAATGTCGTGAAATACCTTTTTAAGTATTGCTACAAGGGCACCGACCGCGCAAGAATCTGTCTGCAAATGGGACTAGATCGGCAAAATCCAAACAGCAGCACAAATGATCCCAATAATGCAAATGAAGTGGTCGATGAGATCAAGCAGTTCATTGACGCACGCTTTGTCGGGCCGAATGAGTCTGTTCATCGCATCCTCGGGATGAAAATGGACGCAAAGAGTGACGTTGTCAAATCGTTGATCGTGCACCTTGAGGACTACCAACCAATCGTTTACGATGTCCATCGTGCCGACAATGCATTGAGAAATGCCGAACTCAAAAATACTACGCTAACTGCTTGGTTTCAAAAGAACAAAGATATTCGAGAACTGGAAGAGGAACTCGGGGCTTTGCCAGCTAATATACTTGACACGCGTACCATCTTTTACGTCGAGATGCCCGAGTTCTATACCTTTTGCGAATCGAATAAGAAATGGAACCAGCGTAAACGCTTGACAGACCGCACCATTGGCCGCATCCACAACGTTTCCCCAAAAGATCACGAGGCATATGCATTGAGAGTTCTACTGCTATACCGAAAAGGCATTGAAGGGTTTGAAGACTTACGCACTATAAACGGCACCACTTATCGTACCTACGTGGAGGCAGCCCGGGCAGCCGGCTACCTTCAGGACGATGGCCACAACCGGCGCTCAATGCGGGAGGCCGCCAACTACCAAATGCCCGACCAGCTGCGTAGCTTCTTTGCGATGCTATTGGTGTACTGTGAAATGTCTGACGGAATACCACTCTGGCACGAATTCAAAGACGAAATGATGGCGGACTATGTCCACCGAGGATTGCCAGCTAATGTTTGTGAATCCAAGGCTTATTGGGATCTGGCTGACAAGCTTGCGTTCCAAGGGCTCGACATCCATAAAGTGCTCGGCCTCGACATCCCGCAAATCAATGGCTACGACGCTCCAATAGACCGAGAAGCTCATCGGCTAGCCGGTGAGGCTCTGTACACTCAATTGAATGACGAACAGAAGCGCGTAGCGGATGCGGTTATGGTAGCCATTGATAACCCGCAAGGGCAATGCTACTTCATTGACGGACCAGGAGGCAGTGGCAAAACTTTTGTCTACACTTGCATAAACCACCTTGCAACCTCAAAAGGCAAAAAAGTTGATTGTGTGGCTTGGACTGGCATTGCCGCAAATTTGTTACCAGGTGGAAGAACCGTCAACGCCACTTTCAAACTAAACGTGAAACAAGACAACAAAACAAGCACAATGAAAAGGCAATCTAAAGAAGCTCGGCTTCTAGCGGCAACGGATGTGTTCATCTGGGATGAAGCTCCGATGGCTCCGAGCCATGCCTTAGAGGCAGTAGATGCTCTTCTAAAAGACATTACCCAAACCGATCAGCGCTTCGGTGGAAAAATCTTCCTGCTTGGAGGAGACTTCCGCCAGGTGCTACCTGTTGTCGAACGTGGCAGCAGGGGTGACCAAGTGGCCGTGTGCCTCCGTCGTTCCACTATCTGGCCGGAATTTGTACAATTCACACTCACCCGCAACATGCGCGTACAAGGCAATGAGGCTGAATGGAAAGACTGGGTACTCAAGGTTGGAAACGATGAAATCCCAAAAGATGCCGATCAAAATATTGAGGTACCGCCAGAGATCCGAAGCAACGGAGACTTGGTCAATGAGATATTTGGGCCAATTATCCGTAATGGCGGTGAATTGGCGGATGCTGCCATCTTATGCCCAAAGAACCAACAGGCGCTGGAAACAAATAATCAAGTTCTCGAGCTTCTACCCGGTGAACTTCATCTTGCCAGGAGCATTGATGAAGCGATCACTTCTGATCCAAGGGACGCATATCACTTCACCACTGAGCTTATGAATTCAATGACCCCTACGGGCCTCCCACCTCATGAATTATTTCTGAAAGTCGGTGCGATTGTTATGCTTCTGCGTAACCTGGACGTTCAAAATGGGTTGTGTAATGGTACTCGGTTGATTGTTGAGCAGATACAAACTCGGGTCCTCCTCTGTCGTTTCGCCACGGGCTCCCGGAAGGGAAAACAAGTGCTTATTCCACGTATTGATTGTCAATACGAAAAAAATATTCCTTTTACCCTTAAACGTCGCCAATTCCCTATTCGCCCAAGCTTTGCCATGACGATCAATAAGAGCCAGGGCCAATCGTTCGAGCGGGTCGGGCTTGATCTCTCCGCGCCCATTTTCGCCCACGGGCAGGCGTACGTGGCCATCTCCCGATGCAAGTCACGCGACGGGATGCGAATTCTGGCGGCGGGGCACAGGATGGCGAATGTGGTGTACCGCGAAGTTCTCACTGATTAACGGCAGACGGCGTCTCGAGTGATGATGGCTGCCCCTCAATACGGTAGCTCCCAAAAATCAGCCTATATATATTTCACTTTTTATAGGCGCCCTCTTCCTTCTCTCTCCTTCTCTCGAGGCCTCCTGCCGTCCACTCAATCACCGCAAACCACTCATACACCCGCCACGCATCCACCAAGCCCATTCTCTACTCTACCACTGCCCGCCGCCAGTCGCGCCGCCACCTCCGTTCAGCTGACCCGCCCGATCGTCTACTTGCCCCGGACAATGCCCAAGCTCTTCGACCCATTACCTTTACCCGTGTGCTTATGCTTGATTCGATAAAATCTGTGTATATGAATTGCCTATGCATAAAATTTTCAATAGACCTCACCCTCGGGCTAGCCGGTCCATTCATGCCTAGACGGGGCCAGTGTTGTGTGCGTGCATTTGCATGCAAATTCAGTCAACGTGTCCGGGGGATTTCTCCAGAGGGAAAGGTCTTCAGCTACGTATGATAGGTCATTACGTGCCTAATGGCCTCGAGGTGACTGCACGCATATCAGATTTTGCCAATTACGCTATTTTCGATCTTAAAATTGAGTTTTTTTTGAAAAATCGTGCAGCCTGCTTTGTTAGGAAATAATTAGCATACGCCGAAAGTGGCGGCGGCCTATATATAACGTGAGAGAGTGGCATTTTTCATTTTTCTCATCTGGAAATAGAGAGACGTATGCAGAGTGAGGACTCTGATCGGGTTAGACCGGGCCAGGGTTGAAAAGCCGCGAAGCGGCTTTTCAACCCTGGTGTAACCATAAAAATAAAAGATTACGAAGGTGCTAAAAATGTTTCGTAAAGCTGCATCTAATTAGCCCGTTTCCAATCGCCAATCATATGACGTTCCCGTTTTCCATAATTCGCTTTTCCAAGTTTTCCCCGGACGTAAACGCTCGCAAATCGGATTGACAAAAATTTAAAATAACCTTATAAAATATCAAAACACAAGTACATCATTAAGGTTAATATGAGTAAAATTTATCGAAAATATAAAAATATCGGTAAAGATTCAGACTTTAATGTTTCGCAGAATGGCAAATCAATAGCTCGTTTTCAAGAGCTAATCGTCCCTTACTTGTGCGTTTCATTTAATGGATTTTCAGGATTCCCCACAACTTGGACATTTCCAAATCCGAAAGATTTTGGGGAACTTGAAGATGACCATCATCATCACGAAGTCGTTGATGACGATTCGGAAATTGACGTTTTCGACCGGTGCAAGCTGACCGTCTTCGACCCGTTTCATCGTGATATGGGCATGACTGTACGGTGGGTTGGTAGCGGGAAACAAAACCAGGCATTAAAACACAGAACATAATTTAGATTTGTCGGAAGCATAATTATTGCTGAAACATTTTTTCATTTTTTTTGGGACGATAACGCGGGAGATTAATAGCATGAGCCAAAGAATCCTATTACAGCAGAAAAATAAAACTTCGATTTTTAATGCGATGAAAGATAAAAGTGGGTTTCTTAAAACTTGGAAGTCGGTTTATTAGAACGTGGAACTCGGTTTACGCATCACGCTTTTTTAACGGTACTATGGCATATGGCAAGCTAGCACGTACGATACTATGGCATTCTAACGGTCGCTAATTATGTGAATTTTTGACCGCGGCACTGGTTTAATCCATGAAACATTTTCAAAGCAATGCAGGCGTCACGAAGCCAGATACTATAAAAGCTGTAAAAGCTACTATTACCTAAATATTGAAAAAGCCTGGCTTTTTAAAGTTTTTACCGTCATAGCCACTTTCATATATTTTTGACGAAAAGCCCCATAAATTTCAAAGCTTTTTGGTTTTTTACGAGGGTTATAGATTTAAAAGTTGAATGGAAGTCTATAAAAATGACTTAGCAGTCGCTATATATCGGGGCAGTGCGGATTACCGCGAAAAATTTGTTTTATCCCCTCGATGATATTCCAGTACCACAAATCGTTTTTTTTTTTAAAAAATGTTGCGACGAACCCCATAGGGATTCGCGACAATATAAATACAATCCGTTGTCAGCTGGCCCTGGCCTAAATTTTAGTAGGATTTTTAATTGATTGGTGATATTTTGTGCTTTTAAGGTACAAAAACCCGGTGGCCAATTGCAATCGACACTTCAAAACGATCGTGAAGCTGGAGAGCGGGAAAATGTGGGTGGACCCGAATCGGACGGCCGACGTGCGATGTCGAGCAAGGCGAGTTTTTGGGTATGAAAGGGAGCGTGACAGATTCATGCTTTGAAAATAGAACACTTCTGTTCGCTTTTAATGCAAAAATCATTATAAACGATGCTAAATAAGTTAAAATAAACGTTTAAAGAATTACTTGTATGATTTTAAGCTTGTATTTCCGAGAATTTCGCCGCGACCGCCCCATGCAACGCGTGCAAACGAGGCCCAGAACTATTTATGCGAATTCATAGCCAAAAAACTAATGGTACAACCTTACAAGAGCTATTAAAAATATATGTTTTATATTTCCAGGTTACAAGGCAATATTAATTTGGGATTCCGAGAGACACAGAATTTACGTGAACGAATTTATTAACGCGCCGTTTTAGTAACCTTCGCAAATTCAAAGATAAGAAAAATTCGTTTCAAAATATTTGGCGATTTGTGCAAAATCGGGATTAGTAATATCGTCGTGATCCTACGTGGTTCCCGAGTAATTTTGACCTAGCCATTGCCGATTCCTTTAAAATATGCATAGTATATTTTGGCTAGGTGGAAATAATTTTTAATTAAGAGATCCCAGAATATTTAAGTTTGATTTACGTATACGATCACGAATAAGAGTTTAAAGGTTTTTCAGTGTTTAAAAAAATTTGTTTAAAAAATCTCGAGGTTTCGCGCGAGACAAAGTCTAACAATTTCTCTTGGACAGGGCGGGTGTTTCCAGTTCCATGTTTTACTATCTATTCCATTTAGATGCTATAAATACATCCATCCACTCAAAGCCGAGCCTCTCGAATGGTTTGCCGTTGAGGGCACGGTTACGGTAGGTGCTTTGAATTGACTAGGCTTAAAGCCAAACTTAATTTTATACAATTAAGTCATTAAGAACCGAAAATTAACAGATTGAAAGGAAAAAGCTACTTTTCATCAAGATATTAAAATTCAAAATTAAAAAGCTACTAAAATAACCTTACAAATTAAAGCATGAATAGGCGCAAAATCCAGGATCACCACGCAGGGTTTAGAAACGACAAAGCCGAAACACCTTTTCAAATATCAATGAAGTTTTATCAATAGAATGATAAAATTGAAACGGTTTTGTTCAAAGTTTAAAATTTATATTTCTCTGGATTGAAATTTGTTCTTAATTCCAGCTTACAGCAGACATGCCAAAAAATGCTATGGGAACTTCAAGCGTCGATTATATCGCCAAAATTTTGTTAAAAATTAATGAGTTTCAAACAAATTTAAAGAACGTGAAAGAAATTCTAGTGTAATATGAATATCCCAAGCTTCTTTTGATAACACCCACCTCAAAAAGCATTTCAAATCAAATTGGATTAAACGTAGTAAATTATTGCGGCTAGTTGCTTTTAGGTGGACTGCGACTTTGTGAAGAGCGAATGTTTCAAGAAGGGCGGTACGGGCGAGGCGAGCGTCGAGCACTGGATGCACACCCAAATCGTCGAGAACAATAAAAGGTATGGACCCTTTGATATAATAACAAAAGCTTTTTATTTGATTTAACTGATTTAGGCGCGAATTTTCATATACATATTTCGTACTTTTACAATTAGCGTCCTCTTTAACCAAAACTATACTTAGTTTTCCGATCGGCTCAAGATAAATGTTTCGCCTAGAAATATTCAAAAAAATCATATTCTTTCGGGAGTGCTCCCTCGAAAACAGTTTCAAAAATACAAAAATTGCTGGTATAATGCGGTAAAATACAAAAATAATATTTTTAATATTATTAGACCCCCTCCCACAAAACCGGTAGACACAAAATGTTTTGTCTAGATTTATCAATGAAAATTTGATTGTCAAATTTATTAAACGCATTTCACTTATTTAGCACGGTACCACAGAAAAAGCCACCGGTGAAAAGCGCCCGTCCAGATGTGTTCATGTTCGTCTTCGACTCCGTATCATCTACCCAAGCGAGACGGTAAGTATTTTAAAGAGATAGAGACAGAAAGTGATTTTACCCGTAAGAAACGTGAGTATAAGATCTGCTAATTGCGCGCCGGTCTTTATTGACGTTATAAAAGGTGTTTCTAAAAATCTCGAGACATATTGATTCTCGAGGGAGGTTAATAGAGTCACCCTTTCTTCGCAATTTTTTTGGATGGCAAACAGCTAACTGGTTTTCCGTAATTCTTGAAAAGAATTTGCTTTTTTTTTCTTCAGTCCTGTTCCTTCAGACGCAGAACATTTTCTTGGGAACCGCGCCCGCGACACGCGACGCCGGGCTACGGCATTCCTGTCAAGTCAGTGCTGCCATGCGCTGCGCGCCGCGTTTTTTTCTTTGCGTTTGCGTTTTTTCGAAAAGAAAAGCCTTTTCGTTTTTGGCTTTTCGAGGCTGTTCAGCCCGGAAATAATGTTCAAGATAGGGCCATGGTCGGTAAAAAAATTGTAAAAATTTGAGAAATGTGTTTTAAAAAAGTTTATTAGCGGAAATCGAGGTGACTCGATAATAACCCCCTTCTGATCCCCTTTTGAGCTAATCTGCAGATTTTTTCCAGGAATACAGCAGACATTTTTAGAAAAAAGCTTAGGGTTAGGATTTAGGGCATAGCATAGAATTCGAATAATCGTTGGGAAAAGCATGTTTTGAAACAGTTTGTGCACCAACGACTGGACCAAAGACCAAAAAAAATCAAGCTATTTAAGCTAGCCTTTAGTTTTTTCATCAACGGATTCGATCCCCGCATTTGCGAACTTAGACTTCTCAGCGCCTTTAAAATCGAGTTCAAATCGAACCGTTTCATGATCGAATTTGCGAAAATTAGAGAAGTATGTTTTAAGAAAAATTTAGTAAAAAAATTCTGGAAAATGACAATACATCCATTGTCCAGTGCCGATAAAATGCATTTTTCAAGGGATACAAAAAAATTTTACATAAAATGTTACGATTAGGTTTTAGGGAGCTCATAAGTTCGAAAACAGTTATTGGCAAAGCTATTTTGTTGAAACAGCTTATTCATCAGACACTGGGAAATGCAACAATATTGCCATCCGCCTCACGAGAACCACAACAAAAGTGTGTTGTTGTGTGTGTGTTTACAAAAAAAGTGTTGCGTTTAGGAATCAAGCCAAAGCTTAAAATTGGAAAGCATTTCTTGTGCATGCCATGTATTAATCACTTTAACCATCAAAAGCTGCAGAATGCGAAAATCAATTCAGTCGAATTATTTTTAAAACCAGCGCAGAAAAGCCGCTTCGCGGGCCTTGGGCGCTGGAATTCGGCCTTTGCAAGAAAAATTTAAATTTCCGATAGCTCGGGTCCTTGGGACCAGGGTTGGTCACAATGATCGGGGGTCCGCGTCCGTCCGCGTCCGTCCGCGTCCGTCCGCGTCCGGACGTGTCCGTCCGGGTCCGCTATGCAAATTGCGGACGCGTCCGGACGCGTCCGGACGCGGACGCAACGGACGCTACAGGGTCCGCCGGACGCCGGAAGGTCCGCGATGCAAAGCACAAAAGCGGATGCTAATTACAGGTGTCTCTGGTTTAGGAAAGCGTAGGATCATAATCTAACTTGCATCCTTGACGTTGACTTAGAATAAAACACAAAAATTACTGTCACTGTCCAAGGGAAAGCGCCACAAAAGTTTGAGCAAACGAAAAGCTTTGAGATTTTAGTGCAATGTTCCATTGTTCTTGAGGTTTAGTACTAGTTTCTTCGTTTCCGACTTGCTTTTGTGTGACTATTTGGACAAGTGACAATTATTTTTTGTCATGATCCAAGTCAACACGAAATATTCAAATTAGGTCTCTGGTGATGCGCCTTCCTAAGCCACAGACTATTGAATTAACATGGTGATCTGCAGTTTGCATCGCGGACCTTCCGGCGTCCGGCGGACGCTGTAGCGTCCGCTGCGTCCGCGTCCGGACGCGTCCGGACCCGTATGCAAATTGCGGACGCGAACGGACTTTCGATCATCATGACCAACCCTGCTTGGGACCCCTTTTCCCCACCCACCACACACGCGAATTGAAAAATGAGGAAATTTGTAATTTTTCACATTATGCAAATTAGCCCTCCCGGACCCCCAAAAATGAATAAAACCGGCTTTAACTTTGTAAATCTGTATTTTATCGGAATTCTGAAAACATCATCGAAAAGAGGAGGGTCGGTTCCCCCGGGTGACGGAGAATTAGGGAATTTTGGACACGGGAAGCCCATCAAATCGGGCCTCGAAACCGGCACACGCACACAAAGATACGCGATCAAATTATATAAGGTAGGATACTTTCCGGTAATTTTAATTAGAAAAAACATGTTGGTTACATTAAAGCGAGAGGTGACGTTTTATGTAGGCAATTTCAAGAAACATCTCGTTGACTGAACTCCCTGTGGTTTGAATTTTAATGAATATCTGCAGTTCTTGTGCTATTATTTTGAACTATTTTCTCTTTTAGGTCCCTGCCGAGATCGTTGAGTTTTCTGGAGACGAAATTCGGGGGTCGTCATTTTCACCATCTGAACAAAGTGGGCGACAACACGAGACCAAATGCGTATGCAATGTTTCTCGGTAAGAAGCTTAGAGTTTACAGAAAAATGTATTACGTAGTATGTGATCCGGGCTAACTTTGAAATGCCAGCATTTCAATATGTCGAAAAACATAGTTTCGAAATTGCATACTGGAGGAATTTCATAACATCGAAATATCAGAATCCCGGAACTGTCGAAATTAAGCTCATAATATCCAAAAAATAATGTCGAAATTCATAATGTCGAAACTTCAGAATGTCGAAAATTCTAATTTCGAGATCTCATCATTTCAAACATCGAAATTTCATAACGCCTAAATTAGATGAAAATCTCCGGAAACAACCCCCCAACATGGTGTAAAAAATTTCGACAATCTGAAATTTTGACAATTTTGAAATATGATTTTCGATACTATGAATGTCGACGTTACACCGGACCGAAATTGAGGTAGATTAAGGCTGATTCGTGATTTTTTAACTATTTTTTTTGGATGAAACACTAAAATTTTTCGGGTTAGCTTTCATTTTTATAATTTAATAGATTCGTGATTATTTTTAGGTTTATTGAAGGAAATTTTTCTAGGGTGGAGAATCTACGCGATTCGGCGAGATTCGGTGGGCGGGGTGAATGCGGACTCGGACCATCCGGACGTATGCAAATATGCCAGGGACAACGATTCGGTCATTTTTCGGGAATACGAGAAAATTGGTGGGTTTTGTTGCGTCGCGTTTCTTTTTATTCCTTTTGAAGATAACACCTATCAATAGAGAAACGTTTTTAAAAAATTGAAACCAGTTTTCAGCGCTTTGGATGTAAATAAATAATAATATGTTTCAGTATAAGTTTACGTTTCGTGTTTTTAGCAATTTTTAGTTAGGAAGGCTATTTGCAAACACAAAATCTATTCACACATTTAATTGTTTTAAGAATATGAAAGCCCTTTTGTAGCGCGTTAGATTTTTTTAAGATGTTTCAGTATCAATTTAAGTTTCGCATCTTTCACCATTTTTAATGTCGAATCCGTTGGAGTGTTCTTTACCTTTTTTTAGGATCTTTGCATCATGGTTTTCAGCGCTGGTAAGGGCTCGAAAAATTTAATTTGAAATTAAATAATCATTTTTATGTATTTAAAGGGTCCTTTAAGTCACGCTTCACGGCCAAATTCATAGGGAATGAATAGCCAAAAATCAGTAAGCAGGATTTGCACGTCCCTGAATTTTTTTAATGATTTGCTGGTGACATGATACCCTTATATTAAATTTAAACTAAAAGGAAAAGCCAGTTTCTAGCGAAAAACACCTTTTTTTAAATTTTGAAGACCTTACCTTCTTTTTTGCAGGCTACAAAACGATGTACAGTGAGGACTACGGTAGCGGGACCGCATTCTCGTGGAATTGCAAAGGGTTCAAGAATCAGGAGGCAAACCATCTCTTTCGGTGAGTGCTATCTTTTTTGTTTTTGTCATAAACGGGGGTCAAAACATCGATTTTCATCAAAAATTTAAAGTTTTGAAAATTTAAACTTTACTAATGATAGCTCATGAATCTCTGCTAGCTTGCCTTGCAGATTCCCTGGTCCATTGGGACTCCAAACAAAGGCAATTTCCGGTTCTTCCCTGTTAGCGGGGGGGAGGGGGGGGGAGGGGGGTTAACACGAGGGACGCTAATTTTTATTTTTCCACCTATATCGCTTAACAATAAACAGGTTTTTTATAGTGTTTTGGTAGCCTTTGGTGGCTAAAAAAATTAAAAAATATTTTAACACTTATTATACCTAGCTTATAGCTTATAGCATCTGTCTAAAATACCATAACAACGGTTGATGTTACCTTCCGACTGATAGTTTCAGAATTTGGGATTGAAAGTGAGGCGACTCAATTGATACCTACAATTTCTGCCTCGGCACCACAATTTTACGAAACATTGGGTTTTACAATGGCATCTAGCTTTTGAAGCTGATCTTGAATCGCCAAGCGGGCCGAATCCTTTTAGTTGTTAAGGTGGAAAACTGGCTTTTTTTGGTTAGATCTCGTCCAAAATAGATACGCCAAAGGTGACGAACGAAAAGCCACCCGATGCCAGGCCTGGACAAATGGCGGGCCGGCCCGGGCCGAGAAAAATTGGGATTTTCCGGGCCGGGCCGGGCCGGGCCGAGAATTCAGAAAAAGCCGGGCCGGCCCGACATTTTTGTCTAAGTAAAAAAATAGGTTTTTAGACGGAAATTGTGTGCTATTTTGCATATTTTTTGCTCGCAAATAGCCTATTGGGCATCGTTATATAACCTCAGTAAAAATTTGGACCTTTTTTTGGTTTAACCGCCTACCAGGAAATCGACCCGGGTTCGATCCCGCCCGGTGCCATCTTTTTGCTTTTTGGATTTTTTAGTCATTCGGACCGGGTTTTTCATAGAAGTATAATGGTACATCGTAGTAACGTATGAAACATTAAATTATACACTAAAATAGTTAATTAGACCCCCAAATTGTTGAATTTAACTTTATTATCCTAAACTCCATCGATATTTATCCCTTAAAAATCGTTGTGAATTTAAACTTTGAATTTTCTTTGCGGAAAAGCTGTAAAAAGGACACACTAACGCTGTATTAACAGCTAAGTACCTTGAAAAGGTGTTAAACCACTTTGGTGACAGGTTTTTGGCCAACCCCGGTTTTGACCTCTAAAAGTCGGGCCGGCCCGGGCCGGGCCGGGCCGAGAAAAATGGGGTTGTCGGGCCGGCCCGGGCCGGCCCGGGCCGGCCCGCGTCCAGGCCTGCCCGATGCGACAGCAACACGACCGTGTCATGAACTTTTGCCACTTTTTAGACATAAAACACTTGAATTTCAAAATTCGAAAACCTTTCAGGAATCCTCAACGAATTTTGATCATTTCAGACTTTTTAATTATGAAAATTGATCAGAGAATCACCGAGACCGAGAGATTTGGGTGCCTTACAAAGCATTACGACATGGAATCGCCGCCCACTCAAAATGTCCTTTTCGCCCCAAGAACTTTTCCGTTTTAATCAAATATTTTACGTTGGTTTCGCAATGAAATCACTGTCTGGTAGTTTTCGACAGCGTCCCTTTCGTTTTTTGACCAGTAGGTGCAATCCCCGCACGCACGAATTTCGACTTCCGAATCCCTTTAAAGCAACCACAGCCCAAAAGTTTGTTAATAGCAAAAAAAATATGATCTACGAAAGGTGCATAATTGGCGACATGTTGCAAGCTCTACCTTTGGAAAGCTCCGAAACATCTTTTTTTAGGCCCCTCCGTTCGACGTGGAGTGATGACAAGGGTACCGCGACACTTGCGGCGCGGACACTTGCGGCGCGACACTTGCGGCGCGACACTTGCGGCTGCGACACTTGCGGCGCGACACTTGCGGCGCGACACTTGCGCCCGACACTTGCGGCGCGACATTTGCGGCGCGACACTTGCGCCCGACACTTGCGGCGCGACCTTGAGGTTATTTAGTATCAGCTTGTTGCGGAAGCAAGAAAAGAAAGTCTTTTGATTCAATTACGCGATGCCTGTACGGCGCACCCCTTTGCACTACGCCCTGTGTGCGCCCTCCCCGTCCCCCGGCACAAACCCCTTTTTTGTGCGTGTCTTTTTTCACTCTTCCACTCCGCCCGTCTTGTCTCGCTGCTTGTGTTATTTTAGGCTATTGCCGTTGTTTAGATAAATACTTTGTCCTCTCTTCTTTCGTCATATCAATTCAGGTGTCACACGGCTCTCACGCAAGGTGTCCCCTTGGTTCGAGCCAGCACTCAAGAACTCACGCACACCCACACCTACAACAATTGGCGATCAAGGATTCGAGCCCGAATTGAAGAATGGCCGACGACCCCGAGCTCAAGGACGTGCTCAAGCAGCTCGCCGCCGCGAACCAGCAGATGACCGCTGTCATGGTCGCCGGGCAAGAGCGAGAAGCCAAGCTCATGGCTGAGCTCGAGCGGATCCGCGCCGAGGTCCAAACGCACACGGACTCGGTTAGCGAAGATTCAAGCCAAAGCCAAAGGCCTCTGAATGCAGTCGAGTTGGGCGCTCTAGCCACTCGCATAAGTCGATTCGAGTATGACCCGTCCCAGGGGATTACCTTCGAAAAATGGCATGAGCGGTTCAAAAACCTCATCGCCACCGAATCGCGCATCTCGGAGGAGAACAAAAAGCATCTTGTTCTCGGGATGCTGGATGCCAAATCCTATGGCTTGCTAGCGGATCATGCTCGACCCACCGAGCTGTCCTCGATCGCATACGACGACATCGTCAAGCATTTGACTGAGATGTTTGGAGAAAAGCTGTCGCTTTTCAGTCGAAGATTCCTCGCCTTTCGCGTAGCGAAAGAGCACGATGAGGATATGCGATCCTACGCCGCTCGCGTCAACAAACTATACGAGCAAGGTCGTGTCAAGGAAATGAAGGAAGATGAAGAAAAGTGTTTACTTTTCGTTGCTGGACTGTCAGACCAGGCACATCGCGACATCCGCAAGAAATTGATCCGTATTCTTGAGTCAAAGAATGACGTGAAACTGGATGATCTGCTGCGCGAGTGTGACTTGCAGACGAGCCTGAACATGGATGTTGTGGTCGAACAGCATGCCAATGTGAATCGTATCCAGCAGTCGGGATACCGAAAGACTTGGAACAAGGGCCCAAAGCCTACCTCTAGCAATGGTGGCCCAAAGCCTTGTGATACCAATGATCGGCCCCGTGGAGACAAGCGTAATGATGTGTGCCATCATTGTGGAAAGCGAGGACACTGGGCAAAAGAGTGTCGCTCAGATTCTGGAAACCGTGGAGGTAATTTTTCCAAGCAAGGAAAACAAAACCACCGAAACAAGGACTGGAAACCGAAGGTGAACCAGATTGTGCAAATCAACGCCATTGATTCGACGCGCAAGGATGTTGAAATCTCAATCGGAAGCACTCATTTTACGCTGCAATTAGATACTGGCGCCGCCGTAACTATTATTGACGAGGCTGTGTGGCATCAGTTGAATTGCCCACCACTTACGCCGTCGGATATTCAACTACGAGCTGCCAATGGTAGTCGAATTGACGTGAAAGGATTGTTTGAAACCCGCTTTCAAGTGAAAGGCATTGAGGGACATGGCCGTTGCTTTGTCACCAAAGACATTCGGTTGATGGGGCTTGATTGGATCAATCAGCTGCCACAATTCGCATCCTGTTTCGATGAATTGTGTGTCAATAAGGTTCAAGTGAAGCAATCAAAGCTGGAAAAGGAACTTGTTGAAAAATACCCAAGTGTATTTACGGATGGTCTAGGCTTATGCACTGTTGCTAAGGCTGAGTTACAGCTCAAAGCCGATGCGCAGCCAATCTTTCTGCCATTCCGACGTGTCGCATTTTCTATGGAATCAGCCATTGAAAAGGAAATTGAACGTCTTGTTGCTTTGACTGTGTTGAAACCAGTCACTTACAGCGAATGGGCGGCTCCGGTCGTTCCAGTCAAGAAGAAGGACGGTTCATTGCGACTTTGCGGTGATTTCTCTACCGGCTTGAATGATGCGTTGCAAGATTACCATCATCCTCTTCCCACAGCGGAAGAAATTTTCACCAAGCTCAACGGTGGACAAGTTTTTTCCCAGATTGACTTGAAGGATGCTTATTTACAAGTCGAGGTTGAGGCATCTAGCCAAGAATACCTGACCATCAACACACACAAGGGACTTTATCAGTATCAACGACTGATATTTGGTGTGAAAACAGCCCCGGTATTTTCCAGAAAATTGTGGATAATTTGATCGCAGGCTTGGACGGTACCGCTGCCTACCTGGATGATCTGTTGATCACCGGCCGGAACCAGGAGGAGCATGACGACAGGGTACGTCAATTGTTTGAGCGAATCGAAAAGTACGGATTGCGCGTCAAAATGGAAAAGTGCACGTTCGGCCAGGCTTCGGTAAAGTATCTTGGCTTCATTCTCGATGCCCAAGGCCGAAGACCCGATGGCGAACGCACGGCTGCGATAGCAAATATGCCACGACCTACCTGCCTCAAAGAAGTTGAAAGCTTTTTGGGCATGGTTTCGTTCTACCAGTCTTTTTATTCCTCGTATGCGACAGTTGCGCGCCCCGCTTGACGAGTTGAAGAGAAAAGACGCAAAGTTTCTCTGGCGTGAGGACTGCGAACGAGCGTTCCAGTCGCTCAAGGAAATTGTCATTTCCGATTTGTTACTCTGTCACTATGACGCCAAGTTGCCGATCGTCGTCGCCGCTGATGCCAGTGAGCAAGGCCTTGGGGCAGTCATTACCCACCGATTCGCTGATGGAACTGAAAAAAGCAATCGCACATGCTAGCAGAGCATTGACTGTGGCAGAAAAGAACTATAGCCAGATTGAAAAAGAAGGCTTAGCCCTCGTATTCGCAATTCGGCGCTTCCACAGATACATCTACGGAAGGCGTTTTGTATTACTGACGGATCATAAGCCCCTTTTACCGATATACGGGTCGAAAAAAGGAATCCCACAACACACCGCAAACCGTTTGCAAAGGTGGTGTTTGCAATTGAACAACTACGATTTTTCTATCGAATATCGTAACACGACCAAGTTTGGTCAAGCGGATGCCCTTTCCCGTCTGATTCCGCCAAATTCGGATCCTGAAGAAGATGTCGTGATTTCGCAGATAGAAATCGACATTTCAGCCGTTTTTGAGGATAAATTGAGCCAAATCCCAGTTTCACACAAGGAAATTGCTGAGCAAACTGAACAGGATTATTCACTCAGCAGTGTGATTGACTCTCTGAAAAGTGGTTCTTTTCCAGACTGTTTGCCAGGCTCGTCGTTGTACGCCTACAAAAGTCTTGTAAATAACTTGTCAATCCACCGAGGCTGTTTGTTTCTGAAAGAGCGAGTTGTTGTGCCGAAAAGGCTACAATCGCGAATCCTGAAAATGCTTCATGAAGGTCACCCGGGCCAAACGAGAATGAAATTGCTCGCAAAGCAATATGTGTACTGGATTGGCATGGATTCAGACATCGATCGCATCGTGAAAGAATGCGAAGGCTGTCAGAAAGCCCAGAAGATGCCTGTAAAAAGTGAATTGACTCCCTGGCCTACCCCAAATCGTCCAATGGAGCGCGTGCATATCGATTATGCCGGTCCGATTGATCAAAAAATGTATTTGATCGTTGTCGACGCTTACTCAAGATGGCCTGAAATCTTTGAGTGTAAGGTGGCAACAAGCCGAGTGACGATTGCCCAGTTGAGAGATGTTTTCTCCAGGTTCGGAGATCCGGAAACGCTCGTTTCGGATAACGGAACTCAATTCACTTCCAAGGAGTTTGAAGATTTCTGTAAGGAACGTGGAATTAACCATATTCGCACGCCACCGTTCCATCCCCAGTCGAACGGTTTGGCCGAACGTTTCGTCGATACCTTCAAGCGCGCTTTGAGCAAAGCCGCTGGTTCGACTAACGCTGAAACTTTGCAAATTTTTCTGCGAACTTATCGGTCCACCCCTTGCCCATCTTCACCAGAACAGCTATCTCCGGCTGAAAGGTTTATCGGGAGAAAGCTTGTTACTCCCATTGCTCGCTTGCGTCTGCCCCAGAGCAACAGCAATACTAGTGCGAATCTCATCTTTCCGAAGGGGGAGAAGATGAAGATGGTTGAACAGTACAACCGGAAGCACGGCGCAAAGAAGCGTTCCTACGAAATCGACCAGACCGTCTGGGTTCGAGATTATAAAATACCTAGCAAACCTGTCTGGGTAGAAGGACGTATTTCTAAATTATGTGGAAAGTCCATGTACGAGGTTGAAACTACCTCTGGAGTCGTTTGGCGTCGACATGCCAACCAGCTACGTGCTCGATTCGTTCGAGACGTACTCGATGATATCCTGGAAGAGTTCGATCTTGCCAGCGATGATAAAGTCAATGTGCAGGACACTGCTCCACCTCTTGACAAGCCTCTCGAGAAGCCAGCTGCATCATCCGCCACAACTTCTACATCGATTCCCATTGTACCTGTTCCGAATGTTCCCCATCCCACTGCTCACCGGCCGACAACACCAACCAAGTCGCCATCGAAGTCGCACCCACGATCACCGGCAAGATCACCAGCCGTGCCGCGACGACCTCAAGTTGAACTGCCCGAAATCGTTGCTCAACACCCGCAAACTGAACAACTCGATGACGTTGTTCCACAACCGCAAGGACGCGACGAAGAACCTGAACTTCGTCAACAAGATCAAGCACAACCTGTGAAGAAGACAAAGAAGACTGATGCCCTTGGACCGATCCTTCACCACAAGCGCATCCGGAAACCGCCGTCGCGATATCAAGATTGAAGTGCCGTCAACGTCGTCTCCATCAAGCTCAACTTCATCACCGAGTCAAGCTCTTCATTCAAGGAGGAAGATGTTGCGGAAGCAAGAAAAGAAAGTCTTTTGATTCAATTACGCGATGCCTGTACGGCGCACCCCTTTGCACTACGCCCTGTGTGCGCCCTCCCCGTCCCCCGGCACAAACCCCTTTTTTGTGCGTGTCTTTTTTCACTCTTCCACTCCGCCCGTCTTGTCTCGCTGCTTGTGTTATTTTAGGCTATTGCCGTTGTTTAGATAAATACTTTGTCCTCTCTTCTTTCGTCATATCAATTCAGGTGTCACACGGCTCTCACGCAAGGTGTCCCCTTGGTTCGAGCCAGCACTCAAGAACTCACGCACACCCACACCTACAACACAGCTATATAAAAATAGTTCAAGGTGTTATTTTATAAGCTGCGTCCGAATTTCGTATTAAAAAAATTGTAAGAAGTCGGGTTTGCGACAGACGTCACTCAATTTGGAGGGAAAGTGGCTGCTACTTCCTCCGCTCTGTGACTAGAAAAAGGCTTCGTACCACCCGGGGCCTAGTCGCTTCGGATGGGTGCGAGCTCGTACAGTGTTTCTAAATCGGGGCGCCCGAGGAGCGCGAAGCGCCCAGGCGCCCCGATTTAGAAAGAGTGGAGCGGCAGCCCATCCGAAGCGACGGCCCACCTTGCCTGACGCCCTCAGGGGCATTCCGACTGCGGGTCGTTTAAATTGCTAATTTTGAACGCAAATACGACAATTACAAACAAAATCCGCGAAGAAATGCCAAATTTACAATTTAAAAAAATAATAAATACTGCGCCGCAAGTGTCGGGCGCAAGTGTCGCGCCGCAAGTGTCGCGCCGCAAGTGTCCGCGCCGCAAGTGTCGGCCGCAAGTGTCGCGCCGCAAGTGTCGCGCCGCAAATGTCGCGCCGCAAGTGTCGCGCCGCAAGTGTCCGCGCCGCAAGTGTCGGGGAGCCATGACAAGACGCTGAAGCAGTATATGAATAATCAGAATTGTTTCGAATGGCACACCGCGCAGCTCGACTACTTTGGAAAATTCCTCAGCGCCTATAATGGTAAGCTAATGCCGTTTTTGATTTACACCACCACACATCTTCAATTATACCTAAAAAAACCTCGCTTATTTCACTTTTTTCTGAAACATTTTTTGGTGAAAATGAAGTTCGGAATGACAACGTCGTGATTGCGTTATGCTCTTCAGCCTTGATTAAATGATATTTTTAATAGTCGAAAACGAATTATAAATTAATGATAATGTTTATTAACTACAAGCGGCTGAAGTTATTCTTCTTAATTTAATCTTTAAGGACTCCAGAAACACGATTTTAATTATAGTCCAGCAGAATGATTAAAAGATTTTCTTAAATTAGAAACGAAGGAAGGTTCATTTTTGCTTTAAAAGCGTTGTTATTTTGGTTCAATGGCCTCGTTGGTGAATGACTGTTTCCAATCGGGGGTTTTACCTTTTTCTCGGTGAAACATTTTTTTTATTAACGATTTTTTCGCTCTTATATTAACTATATTAAAATTAGAATAATTTATACTTTTCGCACATTTCGTTTAACATTATACTAATATAAGCATTCTTTTTCTTTTTATTAGCTACGTTTGGATTCTAGTGGTCGCATAGATCCATAAAATGCCCCCACCGTAAGTGGTCCTGTTAAAACGTAACAGCATCGTAAACATTCAAATTAATCAATTCAGCTGTAGTAAATTTAATCTGTTTTAATAGATTAAAAATCTAATTAAAAAAATAGGTTCAACTTATCTAACTTAGTTCAGGCACCCCAAAATTCGTGATCAACTGGTCCACCGCACCCTGTCACGATGATCCGAATTTGTTGTACCATGCTGATGAGGATTTCTATGTAAGTTGGCAAAACGTTTGGCAGTTATTTACTACTGCCTAAAGGATCTCTGCAAGTCTGCCTCGGAAAAATGCACGAAATCCTCCCAAAAATTTCGGTGTTTTATCAGTTCGTCTTGTACTTTTCTTATTCTTTTTCTTACTGGTACAATCAAAATCAAATCTAAAAAAATCAAAACTTTCGATAGGATCAAGCCAAACAAACGTTTATTGCATTTAATTTATTTTACCAAAACCGTGTCGCTAATCGCCTCTGCTAGCCTGCGCCGGAGTGAAGAATCCGGAACGCCTGTAATTTATCAAAAAATAATTAATCAAATTAAATGAGTTAAAAATTAATAACGGATGGAATAGACCGGGAATTGCCGTATGCTGGTCATCATCAGCTCCCAGGACTTTGGAAACATTTTTTCCTAATTTTGCACATGTTTTCTCGTTCTTTTCTCTCCAATCCTTATTTTAACGATTTTCTGCTGATAGTTTTTTTAGGTTCTCTGCAGGATACTTTAAAACTTTTTAGTACCATTCGAAAAAAGTGAGAAATGCTCATGCCTCATTTAAAACCTATTTATTTACACATTTATTTAACGAAATCAAAAATGTACTCGTACCGAGAACTGGTTGAGAATACATTGATTCGAAAAACGTGTTTCATATAAATTATGGGCATTCGTAGTGCTACTTTTCATTAATCCGTTGCGTGTAGTGACTTCGAAATTTTGTCGAAATCTATGCAAATGTTTTGCTATTTTTTTTTTCTAAAGTCCATACCAGATTTCCAGCTAGATGGTTTTTGGCGAAACTGCTTTCAGCGAAAGCGTCATTGTAATCATCAACGTAACCCGATACCAATTCTAGCTCCAGAAGTTACAAAACATATTTTTTTTCTAAGCCGGCGAGCATCTCGACTCAAATATTCTCTGCTAGCCTGCCCCTTCGGTTGACGCAAACCTTGAAGAGCGGTTTCTGTATCCTTAATTTATTGAAAGAAACCTAGGCCACGAAGTATAGTAGAATTCCGAACCAATGCGGCTTCAAAATGCTCAAAAACACCTTTTTTTTTTAGAATTTCCTCGAGAAGCATGAGAAACGACTGCAGAACGCGTTCATCTTCTTTATGGGCGACCACGGGCCACGGTATGGGGTGGTACGTTTTTTGATTATTGCCAAATCTTAAACTTGATGTTTCAAATTTATATAACAAATTAAATTGATATTCAGGGGCGTCGTTTAAGTAACAAACGATAGTAAAATGTAAGGTAGCTTTGTAAGCTAGGTAATGCCAAGTACAGTAGTCAATACCTTGGATCAAAATGAGGCTAAAACTAATGCTAAAAACTTTACAATTCCGTTTTACAAATGCATGTTGCGCGAATTTTTTAGTTTTAAAAATGTCGAGGCAGACCAATTCGTATCGGCACCAATGGTTTCGATTCAAAGACTTTTGAAACATTTAGACCCTAAATCCAATAATAAATCTTTTAACCAATATACAGGGTGTCCCAAAATTATCCAGACAAAGTTGCAAAGCGGTTTTTTCCTATTTTTTCCCTGTTTTTGCAGACCATAATTTAATTTCTATGAATCGTTGAAGTGTATTTAATAAGCTTACAAAGAAAACTGCGCGTGAATCCGTCATATCTCTTCGGAATAAATTGGAGAAGTTCGAACCAAATTTGTCTCTCCTTGAAAACGCTGAAAACGCGCCGGCTTTCCGATCCCATAAGAAACTTCAGCATGCCCGGACGAACGAAGAAACCACAGGAAGTGTTCGGAAATGACCAGTCAACACTTTAGCCGGCCCAAAAACGCTAGGTTTACACCAGAAAAAAAACAGCCAGCAAAAAAGCTGAAATCGAGGTACGCGCCTCCCCGGTTGCCTTAAAGGTTTTGCTCTGGAGGAACCCTAAAAACGCGATATGATTGTTGTCAAAGACTAGAGGCGTAAACTTTTGGCGGTAACGATGATGCACAAGCTATTTAAATTAAGCTAACTTTGATTTTTGAGGAGCTTGAGCACGAGCAAGCATCGAAACAGCTCGCCTAGTAATGGGATGGAAATCGGTATTAAACGGAAAAATGCCCATTAACATGTCGGAATCTTGGCGGAGTTAGGTCCGTTTTGCCAGAAAACGTCATTTCTTGCTCACAAAAACGCCTGAACAGTTTTGTCCGGATAATTTTGGGACACCCTGTAGATCATGCTCATCGGTAATGTCTAAAAAGCTTAAGAGCTTTTCTCGGAAAAAAGTTCTATTTCAGGAAAACTTACCATAAAAAAATCACCATTGTCCACTATTGTAGTGTTAACCCGTGGTCTTATTATTTCGCCGTTAAAACAAAAAATAATGCTGATACCGTTATATTAAATGTTTTAATAGGGCTTGACGTTGTAATAAAATTTGATTTTAAGATTAAACTTTAATAAATCAGGATGAGAATCTGTGAAAACATAAGTTTCAAGAAATTTTGTTGTGAAGAATTGGCATGGTCTGTCAATGCAGTATATAAAGGCATAATATCTAGCGCTAGAAACATGAATTCTCAAATAATTTTAGTTTCAATTTGAAACTTTCAAACATTGTTAAATAGCTTAAAAATCGATGCCAATTCGTTTTCCAGGTGGCTCGAGCGGAAATGGGAAAACGCGAGATCAACAACCCGTTGCTGCACATATCGGTACCTCATTGGCTACGTAACAATACACAGGTACGGTTTTTACGGTATATTCTAATTTTCTTTGGGGCCTAGGCATTTACATGTAAAGCTTTTCTGCACGACAATTATTATCCATCAGACGCGCGAAAATTTAAATGTTTCTTCTCAAGCGGCTCTTCAAAAAGTTTTTGATCGTTTTGGTTTATCGTACATTTTACGTTAATTTCGTATGAAGGAACAAGGGTTCAAAACGTGAACCCTGATCCTCTTAAAAAATCATAGAACAAATTATTTAGATTGTTTTTTATTATTATTTACACACGTGAACCCGAAATTATAAAAATTTGGCAAGCTAGCAGTGATATTAAAATTCGGATTAAACGGAACGGAACGGTTTAAAGAAAACACCATGACCTGATCAAATTTATTATTTATCAAATTAAATTATTTCACGCAAAAAACATTCGTAAAACTTAAATTTAGTATATTATTTTTAGTTAACCAAAAACATGGAGGAAAATTCGCAGCGCATGATTCTACAGTATGACATCTACGAGACGCTGAAGGATATATTACGGGTAATTACTAAACACATTTTACGTATTTTTCTCGTTAAGAGGTAGTAGTATACTGCCATTACGTCATCGACGAGGCAAGGGTCTTAACAATTTTTGCAAGGATTAAAATTGTTTTATTCGACTTATAAACAAATAGATTCAAAACATTTTTTCGTGAAAAATGAAACCGGAAAAAGTAATGTTTCGCAAAACTCTGGTGATCGTAAGATCTGGGCAAAATCGTATTTCAAAAAAGTTGAAACCCATAATTTCTACTGGCGGCGGATGCCACGGATCAGTTGGAAACAGAAAAGTCATCTTTATTAGCCAATCGAATCGGCGCGTACGCATTTGGGGGGCTGAAACACATTTTAGTGTTTTATGGATTCTTTGGATTGGATTTATCTTCGCTCTACTTATTTTGATCTTAAGGCGAAATCCTATTTGCGATCAGTTTGTGGAAAATAATTTAGTCGGCATCAATTTGTTCAACAACATTTTGTCGCATTGTCGAAATTTAAATTTTTGGCTCTGTACCGATAGCACGGGGCAATGACAACAGAACGGGGCATTGACAACAGAACGGGACATTGCCAGGAGAACGGGGCATTGCCAGCAGAACGGGACATTGCCAAGTCCCCGCGGCCGGCGGCCAGCAGAACGGGGCATTGCATATTTTCTCAATCTCTCGCCTACTTTTTTCTCTGATTATATTTTTTGGATTCACAGAACTGTTTGTCAACCAGGCCGAACGATTCTAACTAGGGAAGTCCAAAATACCCCGCAACACGGATCGGAATGAGAATTTGTACATTTATAGATGCGACCAGGCTGATAATCGCCTCGATTTCCGAATCTGCTGCAGAGCCTAGAAATTTGAGATATTGAAGTTTTGGTGTCATTTTTTGGGCCCCGGAAAAGGGTTTGTCAGGATATCGAACTTTTTTTCTGTAATTGTCTAGTTATTTAAAGTAGCCTAACCGATAGAGTCTTTTTTCTGATTTTTCTGATTGCATCGTATATTTCTTTAATACACGAAGGCCTTTGCGCTATCCTAAGCTGCTTGAATTAGGCTGTTTTCTACCATTTCCATAGTTAAGTCGGAGTCCATACCAAGTATCGTCGATTTTTCTATAAACTATCATCAGGCAAAAAAAGTAGGCGAGAGACCATAAAAATACGTATTCTGAGAAAATATGCAATGCCCCGTCCTGCTGGCCGCCGGCCCCCCTGGCCAAACCAATGCCCCGTCCTGCTGGCCGCCGGCCCCCCTGGCCAAACCAATGCCCCGTTCTGCTGGCCGCCGGCCGCGGGGACTTGGCAATGTCCCGTTCTGCTGGCAATGCCCCGTTCTGCTGTCATTGCCCCGTTCTGTTGCCAATGCCCCGTTCTGTTGTCATTGCCCCGTTCTGTTGCCAATGCCCCGTTCTGTTGTCAATGCCCCGTTCTGTTGTCATTGCCCCGTGCTATCGGTACAGAGCCAAATTTTTTAGACATTTCAATTTTCGAAATGTTCGAGATGAATAATCGATACTCAAATGGGCTGGAATGCCGACAGATTGGCTTCTCGTCAAAACGAAATTCCGACAAAATGAAGTTTCGACTCAGAGTTTCGAAAATTTGATATTTCGAAAATAGAAAATGAGCCATGGGATCTATCGCCGGTAAAATCTGTAACTATTCCTTGCCCGCTCCTCGAAAATGTTTTCTCGAACGCCGGAATTCCAACAAATCAAAGCCTCAGAAAAATCATGTTTCACGAAAAGTTGTAGTTGCTTGATAAATGGGGCGGACAATACAATCACGGAGGAAAAGCGTTATCCACATTATATCAACGGGATTCCGTGCTTTAGGGGGTTTGAAACATTTTTTTGTTTATACGTAGGAACTGAAAAAAATTGAAGGGACCGGCAAGGCATGGCTATTTATATTCAAACTGGGACTGCCTGGTATGCAGGCTAAATTTTAGCTGCCCGATTGTCCGAATTTTTAGTCCACAAGCAAAAAAATGTTTTTAAAATGGAACCCAGCGGCGATTTTCTGACCATGCTATTAGGCCATTTCTTTTTTAGTATTAATTTTTAGTAGTATAATTTTTAGTATTCCTAGATTAATTAATTATTGTCGAGTTTCACAAATTCAACGTTATTACGAAAACATTCCTGCCATGATTAGCCGTTGAAAATTTCAGTACGCTCCGGAAAGCAACTTCACCGACTTCGCGTACGTCGAACGGGAAAAGGACAACGACAACAATGGAACGTCATTATTGCGCCCATTCCCGGAACCGCTACGCCACCGTAATTGCCGGAATATCGCCGTCCACACCGCGTACTGTATGTGCGAATTCGACAAGGAGCTCGTTTAGTGAGTTTTTCTATTTGATTTTTGTTACTTAGGCAATTAGTTTAATCAGATTTAAAATGGTGCTTTTGCATTATCGGGTGGGGGGGTGTTTCTAAACTCTCCTTACGATTGCGAGACGTAAAAACTTTAGCTGTGATTTTTAAGAAAGATTTTTAAGCTTTTTTCATCAAAATGGCCATTTGAGCCAGTGAAATCTATATAAGGCAGGATAAAAAGCAACTGCGGACACATCAATATCGGTCCATCAAAGCAAGACGACACGTGTTTTTTTAAAACATGTAATTTTTCAATCGCCCGGTGTTTCGCAAGCTAGCAGAGATTCTTTGGGGAAGGACTTTTTATATGACAGAATTTTTTAGGACTATACAAATAATAAAAAAACTCAGGCTTTCAACCTGCAAAAAGCTTTGAAAATCGAACAACGATTAAATATTCAATACGAAATTATGTAATGCTAGTACGGAAACTACAACAAAAATTTTTAAACATGGAAATATACATAAAATTGGTAAAAAGCATAAAAACCGGATTTTCGTATTATTTTTTCGCCCACTTTATGCTAAGTGCCCCCGCCCCCTCTTAATGCAAACAAACCCAAGAGGTATATTTTATTAACGTTATGGATGCTTTTATCCTTGTGATTTAACGGGTTTTTTAGCTAAAAAATTTATGCGAAAGCGTTTAAAAAAATAGCCTGGAGAAATCATAAACAGGGCAGGCTGGCAGAGATTATTTGGAAATTTGTTTTTCTGAATTACTGATAATTACCGGAAAGAAAAGGACTTGGGAATAACAGCCCGACTAAGTAAGCCAGATTGGGCCTTTTCTGAAACATATCATTTCCCAACGCTTTTTGATCGCTTTTTTCTTGTCTTGAGCAAGCGAGCAGAGATTATTTGGGAAATCCCGATATTCGGAATAGTTGTAATTTAAAAAAATGGAATTGAAAGTACCGCAAAAAAATGGTATTATGCCAACCTACGAAGATGGGAATAACTTAAATAAACACTTACTTGTTTCGATTTAGCAATGAAACATTGATCAATGACGCGAAAATGGTCGTCATCCAGGAAATTAACGCCATTTTCCGCCAATTCAACGTCACCAACCTTTGCGCCGATCATAAATTGGACCAGGTAAAATCGGTTTTTTAATTTTTGTTATTTTATGCTTATTTTCATATTTTATAAATTTTTAAAATCGATTGAAACTAGCGTTTTCTAGATAATCTCCATAAAGGGCTTCATCCCGACAAAACGGACTCGAATGTTCGAAGTATTCTTCCGGTCGACCCTTGGCAAAGGCGAATTCACTGTGGTACGGTAGTTTTGAAGTTTGTATAATTTTTTATTAAATCAATGCTAAAAATATTAGTGTCACCATGAGGCAAACAATGGGAATTTTGAAAAAAAATCGATTAGGGAAAATATGTTGCATCGCTTCGAATAGTCGGAACAGAAAAACGGCCTAGCAATTCATAAACGGGAATCTGTCAAAACCTCGAAAATCAGAATCTCGAACTTTCAGAATCTCGAATTTTCAAAATCTCGAATTATTTAGAATCTCGAAATTTCCATGGTTGAAATCAGCATTAAAGGTTCCGGAAATTGAACGCCTACGCACTAAATCCAACATAGGCATATTTTGAGATTCTAAAAATTCGAACTTTCTGAAAATTCGAGATTCTGAAAATCCGGGATTTTGCAAATTCGAGATTCTGATTTTCGAGATTCTGATAGCAGTTTTTCATACACATGTCGAGCCGCTCCCCAAAAAATTGCGACAATATCATAATTCAAATACTTGTAAACCGCCTATAATGCGTATCCATGCGGCAATCATCCATATTTATGAAACAATTCTTTGTCATAAATATGAAAAAACTATTTTGTGGTAACGATTTTTTCCTATAAGTTCCTATATTTCCTATATGCCTAGTCACGCAATTGTGTTACTAAAATATTTGGTAAAATTTAGCTTATTTTCATTTTATCGAAATTTTAATGCGTTTTTCATCTCGATTATTTATCTCAACATTTCGCAAATTGAAATTTCAGCGCATTAAAATTTCAAAAAAATGAACTTTCAGCAAAATGGCATTTCGACAAAGTGATTTTCGAAAACATGCTTTTGGACGAAATGATAGCAAATCGCAAAATTTAATTATATTTGATTGGGAGAACTACATTTTTCGAAAATTAATACGTATTTTAGTAGCCGTTTTTGTATTTTTTAATAAAGATAAATAAAATTTTTTGCATTTAGGTATCGTAAAAAACGGCTTAGAGACACTTCCTCGGTTTTTAATAGAAAAATCGGAACCGAAGGCAAAAAATGGTTCCTTAAATTTGATATAACTTAATTAAATATATGGTTTTAGGTGCTAAAGCTGGACGATTCGGGGCGACTGGTGCGTGCCGGAGAGTTCCTCCGGTTGAATAAGTACGGCGACCAGGCGGATTGTATCGCCGCCCTCTACGCCGATCTCCGCCCCATCTGCTACTGCAAAAAGCAAAAAAAGCCGAAGCCGAAGAATTAACAACATATTTATTATTGTTTTATGCTTGACTTTCTTTTATTTGTTGCCTGACGGGTTCTAACTTTACATCTCGGGTTTTTGTTGCACGCCTTTCCATAAAGATTTCGGTTTACAAATTTTTAATTTTGATGTTTCAGAAATTTTTGGGCATTGCTGTTGGTTTTTGGCTATTAATCCAGATATTTATCCGATCCGATAAATATATGAAATGTACCATAGAAAATGCACATTATTCGTTTTCTACTAAAATCAAGCTAAATTTAGTTATATTTCATCTTTTCATCATTTTAATGGATGCCTTCCCCTACATCTTCACCTTTCACTTTCCCTTTCACCTTCAGAGGAAAAAGTAACATGTGTCAAAAATTTTTGAAATCATCGTGGACTTTTCAATATTAATTACACTAAACGGACCAAAATTACGGCGAAAATGGACGCGGGTTGATGCTTCTTACATAATAAACGCGGTTCATTTAAATTTAACTTTAAAGACGAACCAGTTTGAGGTTTGCAATTCAAATGTTTTAGAAATTTTGAAATATAATTTTGCCTTTCTTCTTTTAATAAACAGAGAATTTTTAACTGATTTTTATAGACATAGACAGACAGACAGATCGATATTACAGATCCGCCATCGATCCAGGTCAGCGACTATTCTTAAATCGATAGTTCTTGCTAGGATTCTGACACATCCTATTTTCGCACAACTTTGCAAAGACCCTCCCGGTGGGTGCTGTTACCTAAAACGCGGATCAACGCAACGCTACCGTATACCGGTGAGACGCGGATGTTTGAGGCCTGATTTCGAAAAAGGTATCAGAAACTCGCCGAACTTGAATTTTTTTTGATCGATCAATCTTTAAACTAAATAATCAATTCTTATTTTTTTATTCATCCGATATTGGCATCAATTAATGCTCTTCCACGAAATCAAAAGCCCAGAAAATAGTGGATACCGGCGGAAAACGGTTCATTTCCTATTCTCTATCGGAAATACACCGGTTTATGAAACTCACAATGCCAAAAAGTCTGTAAATAGTAATTTAGAAGCGTTCCAGAATGGTGAAACCATTTTTTTCGAGACTAGGCACAGTGACAACTCCTTCAATGGCTTTTATCCACCCATTTTCTTTTCCAAGTTCGCGGTTTTTTTTCTTATTCCCAGTTATAACGCTCAAATTTAGGTTTCGGCAGTATGGACGAGAAGCGCGAGAAGCGCGACGCGCTACTGACGGAATATTATGAAGACCTCCCTCCTCGCCAGCAGCTCGGCTTGATACGAATGATGTCTCGCCTTCAAGAGCCCTTTCCCAGCGCCATCAGACAGAGAAAGATCCTGGTTTGTCGCGATTTTAGTTGGCTAATCGCATAGTTTTATTTCAGCTGCCCAGAAATGACATCTTTCACCCGCCCGTCGCGTTTCCTAAGGAACTTCTGTGGCTCCAGAAAAACATTGATTATTGTAAGTTTTCGGGTTTTTTCAAGACCTTCTTTTTCGTTTAATAACATTTCAGTCTTTCCTGCATTTGGTTCTATTTAAAGCGGCACAAAGAGTTTGAACCTTTTCGTCGAAAATTGGCTTTATGTGATCGGAAAAGCGTTTTTCAAGATTTAATAGCAGCTTTTTACGTTCGGGAATAGTTTAAAACGCATGCTGTTTTATCTTCATTTGTAGAGAACCTAGAACAGTGATTGGAAAACGTAAATTTTGATCGAAAATTAACTATTTTTCATCTTAAAAACGTTTGTTTTTAGTTTTTAAAAAATCTTTCTAGCTTTTTACCTTTGGCGAATACTAGACATCTAGAAACATGTCGTTTGCGGTGTGATTCCCCCTGGAAATATCAAGCGAATGTTTTTGAGTCGGAAACTACTAACTCCATTTCAGATCGAAATAGAGGCCCACCGCTCTCCCTGCGCCACGAGATGATCCATAATCAAGGACCGCCGAAATTGGCACCCGAAGATGCGTATCCGCCACGTAAACCTGTTTCCATAGAACTAATGATTATTTAGTGCCTCAACCAAATGCCACGACTATTGGCAGCGCTAACAAGACGACGACCTACCCACAAAAACGGATCCATTATCGATCCATCGGGTATTTGTTTTCTTGCTTGTAAAACGGACGTTTTTAGGCTGACCGCTACGCGAAAGTATGCACTCAGTGCGCCGTCTGAAATCGAGCCGACACATCGATTCATTCGACAACAGCCACCAGTTCCGTCGCCCGACTCCGAAGTTAAGATTAACCAAGTAATAGAATTTAATTCTATTTTTAAAATAGATGTTCTCGCCTTATCGTGGGTATCGCGAATTTTGGCTAGAAGTAAAGATAAGTCTAGCATCATCATTACAAGTATTTGAATCATGTTTTTCGTAAGGTTTCTAGGTGTGCTTTGATCATGTTGTTTTGAAGTATGTTCTATCTTAATTCTAAACGGAAAACTATCTCGGAAACTACAACGCTAAAAAACTTTAAAAACGTTTAGAATCGGTAATCGGTCAATTGCTTTCTAATAGAAAGCTTAAGGTTTTCATTTTTGGAACAGTAAAAAATGTAGAAACGATCCCTCGATTTATATTACAAAAAAGTATTCTAAGAAAAAATTCCCTCCCCCGATAATGCCAAAGCCCCTAAAAAGATGATATTTCCAGGAACCAGGCGACTTCGTCTGCTGCACCGTCAAGCATTGCCTTTCCGGATCGTTCAAGTGCGAGAAGAAGCGGAACTGGGAGGAAGCCCAGGAAATCAGCAGGGCCCAGGCAGGCTTGAAAGAGCCGAAGTAAGATATTTTCGCCTGTATTTACGTCGATTTTTTTCAGAGATGAACCCTTTGATGAAGCTAACATCATTATGGCAGAAACGACAGCTGGCGGTAGTCTGGAAGATGTTAAACCAGAACCGTTGGATTTGGATGCGTAAGTTTTCGTCTTTTTTGTATCTCTTATGTTTTGTTTAGAGTACCTGTGCCGGCGCCGGAGAACGATGAAAGCGTGTATCGTCTTAACGCAATGCTTCCGCTTTCGTATGAGCCATCGGTAGGGATTTTTTGTTAATTACAGGCTGTCGAGAGGACCACGAAGATCGCTCGAGCTTGATGATCGAACCTCATTCGAAAGCTCGCAAAAAGCCACAAATTTTTTTTACTTTATCGCTGTAGTTTTGGCTCAAACTAAAAAGAACCCGGAACTTTTTTGGCACTCGGCCGCTGGCAGTTTTCGAGGTCGATTCAATTCTGCAAAATCCGGAAAGCTAAAACAGCTTATTTTAGTCCTTTTTGCGCGCTTTCGAATGGCATAAAAATGATTCGTTCAGTGCTTCGTTTGTAAGATTATTTGGGTTATCTAGGGATATCGTATCAGAAGGTTGAGATGTCATAATGCCGACATTTTGTTAGAAATAACTTTACGGTGGAATCTCCAATATCGCTAACCCGAAATTGACATTATTAAATTTCGAAATTATGACATTTCGGCAGGATGATTTTCAATATTTTGAAGGCAAACCGTTTAGAGCGCCTGTACATATTTTTTCCAGCCTGACTTGCCTCCAAATGACATGGCCTTCGCGATGACGAGAATCTGCCGGGGTTGCGATTTGGTGGGCGCTTTTTCAGCAGCGATTAATCCCGAAATTTAGCCGCTGTCGCAAAAGGAGTTCTCCGCACACTTTTTGCTGATCTCGCAGGGCGTCAATTGCCCGGAGGCCAAATGCAACGACGCGCTCATCAACTGCCCGTATCCGGATGTAAGTTTTCCGCATTTCCGACTTACTTTTTGCATTTTTAGTGCATCGCAAAAGGCTTCGGCTCGATGACAAATTACGCCAACCACCTCCGACTTCATCACGGCCGCCCGACCTTCATCCGCGAATTTGCGTACACGGATATCGCTGAATATCGGGTAATTTTTGCAACGATAAAAGAAAGTTTAATTTTAGACGCATTTGAACGAAATCCGCGCGATGGGCGACTACGAGAACGATAAACACACGAAGCTGAGCGGTCGGACGTACCCGTGCCGCTACACGCATGACCCGAATGATAGTGGTATTTTCTACTCTTCTATTGCCAAATTTCCATATTTAGATGACGAATTTGACGACTGCGACCTGAGTCATAAACAGCCGATCGCGTGTGGCGCATTCTACCACGGAGCTATCGAGTCACGGAATCTTACCGGAAGGTAACGAAATTTCAGCTTGACCTGTCGGTTGTAGAAAATATAGTGTGTTTACCGGCAGTTTAGATGGTTTTTTTATTCGCCACAAAGTAGGCAAAAATAGTATAAATTTAAAAATTCGGAATTTTTATCGTTTTTGCTCCTTTTTCGCCGAAGTTTTGTGAATTTCCGACATCGACAATGCGGAAAAGTAGCTATACGTATTGGCCTTTTTGCATCAGTTTTGAGGATTTTCCTGTATTCGAAAACGGCTAAAATTAATTCAACTTAAACTCAACGTCATTTTTCGAAATTTCAAAAATTTTGTTTTTAGCCCGATCATCCACCTTCGCGTTTGCAACCTGCATATCCATGGGAAGATGAAGATCCCGAGGGCACTTCGTCACCGCATCCGGCAGCTCGCTCGTTTTATGCCGATTCCGATTCTCATGGTCATCATAAGAGGTTCCTCTTTCTTGTCGTTCCGTCGATACAGCTTTTACAGCCGAATCTGGAAAATATGCCGGCGAAGGAGGGCTGCTGCAACAAATTCTCGAATTGGACGCGTTGAAAATCGGACGCATCATCCACAAAGGCGGGGTACGGTTTGACACGGACTACATTTTTTTGATTGCGTTATCGATCGTCCGAAAACCCTGGAAATACCGAGACATTTTTTGTAATTTAAATTAGTGTCTAACCAGGGTTGAAAAGCCGCTTCGCGAATTTTCAACCCTGGCCCCGTCGTTTTATCCTTCACTTTGCATAATTTTCCTGAATTCAGATGACAAAAAATGAAAAACGACCTGTTGAGCCCCTTTATATAGTCGAATCCCCACTTCCGGTCTACGCTAATTGTTCCTAACAAAGAGGTTTTTACAAAAACTTAAATTTAATGTCGAAAACAGGTGATTTTGTTAAAACTGATATGCGTGCAGTCATCTCCAGGCCATTACGCATCTAATGACGTATCAAACATACCTTAAAATTGATCTCCTATCGAGATATCCTCCGGACAGACATCCGGAAGTGGATGCAAAGTGGCACACACACACACACACACACACACACACACACACACACACACACACACACACACACAGACACTATCCTACCCTATAAGCGAGAAAAGTATGTGTGTTTTCTGTACGGCCGTTTTCTCGGCCGTCAGGCCGAATTTCGAGCTGATTTTTGGCATGGGGGTGGGAAATGCCATTTATAAAAAACGGTTTTTTGGATTTTTCGAAATTCTGCGATTTAACGATTTTACAAGCAAAAATGTGAAAAATCCTTAACATTTTTGGGTGTGCACGTTGTCCGGAACTTTTCTCGGCCCCTAGAGGGAATGGGGCCCTCAATTTTTGAGGGTAAGTGGCAAAAGTAATTCCCCAGATACATTTTTTCGGATTTTGCAAAATTCTTTAAAATAAAGTTTTTATGAGCATTTTTTTGAAAATTCCTTAACAAAATGGGCCAAGGGTCGTGGTGTCCGGGGCATAACTCGAAGCCCTGATGGAATTCCGGGTTGAAATTTGGACCATTTATGCAATTAAGGATGGGGATCATGCGCAAGCAGTTAGTTTTTGAAAATATTGTAATTTCGTTGCATACGATGCAAATTTGTTAAATTGGTTTTTGCCTGCTCCTCAAGGTCAAAAGTGGGTAATTGACAGGCTGGAAAGATAGAGCAGAATGTGCTAAATCTTTCCCTTTTTCAATTTTTAAATTTGGTTGAATTTCCGGGGCGATAGAGCCGTTTTTGTTCCGGAGAAGGACGCCCTTTCGGGGGCCGGGGTGCCCCCTGTGTGCTCCCCAGCCCGTCCCGACTCGCCCCCCACCTAACCCACTCCCAGGTGATAACCCCCCAAGGTTTTCGAGCGCTGCCGGGTGGCTGGCCGAAAGGTTAACACTGAACAGCCACCTTCCTAGAGCGCCCCAGCAATGGGTGACGAATTTTTGGCCGCTACGCTCAAGGGGGAGTCGTCCTCCGATGGCCATACAAATTTAAACGCTCGCTCCCTTGGGACGCCGAGGGGTTCAGCTTGCCTGTTGCTGGACAAGCCAGACCCGGAAGGGATGGTTCGGCCTGACGGTCGTAATGTCGGTCCTGTTGGCACCAGTACCGATCTGCCGGACCCGGTAAGGGTGTCGGAAACAGCTGAGCCTCAGCAGGGTACGAAGAAGAGAGGGCCTGCCGATTGGACCCGAAGAGGTAGCAATACCGAGGTTCAATTGGCTGGGCGAGTAGCGGCACCCTCCAGCTGTTTTCCGGGACAACACCCCGCGGCCTATCCTCAAACACCGCGGCATCCTATGCAGATCGTGAAAATGCCTTCCGTGCCGAATACCAGCAGTAACTCGACCGGTACACTCCATACGGGAAAGAAGCTGTCTGACTCGGGATTTTTCGTTCCGAACCCGTGGCAAACGCTGGGCCCTGATTCTTCGAAGCTTTGGGTGCCTCGACAGCAGATAGAACCCGCGCCTGTTCTAAAACCTGAGCCTGTACAAATACAGAGAAAGAAGGAAAAGATTAGTCGCGCGGAACGTGTACAACTGAGGTTGGAGTACGACCAAAGTTTACAGCGGACCCCGGCCGATCCTGTACTTGCTCAAGGTCCTGTCGATGTGCCTGAGGTTTCGTTGAGCCAGACTCCGAGTTCACGCGAGCGACGGAAGCGAAAGTCTGACGCGGAAGGCGAGAGGGAACCGCGAGTCGGAGGAACCCCTGAGGAGCATGAATCCCAACTCGCGACAAGGCGTGCGAAACGCTTGCATAGCTCCCAGGGAACTCCTGATCAATCGCACCTCCCATCGCAGTCCGTCGAAGGCCTAGCCAACGTCACGCCCATTTCGCGTTTGAACTCGCAGAGAAAGTCCGAGGCCTTACGGAAAAGAGAACAGCGTTCGCAAGTTGCTCTGAATTTGCAGACCCGGTTTTCGGCGGCCAACGAGGCGTCAAGGCAAGGGTGCAAGCAGAAGCAAGAAGCGGCCCGGGTGAGGATGCAACGTGCAAATGAAAGCCCAGCTGAGCAAGCCGCACGGCAAGCCAAAGACCTCTACTCTAAAGGTTGCAGGAGTCTCGGTTGAGCACAAGTGAACGTGAGACTCATAATCTCGCTCGGGCTGCGCGTGTAGCGGCAAGGCGCTCCCGAGAATCGCCTTCCCGGCGTTCGGAGCGTCTGAGCCGAAATGCGATATCCACGGGAAGTTCACGACACCGAGAATCCTCATCCCAAAGAGCATTGCGTCTGGCGGCAAATGCTACTCGGACCGCGGCACACCGGCAGCAACGGCGCCATACGGCCGCTGCGCGTGCAGGTGCTGCTCGAAATCTGGATGCGTTTCCCCCCATCCACTATCTTGGCAAGCCGGACATATCTTGCAGCTGCTGTGGTGCATTGCATTACGCAGTCGAAACAAAATCCCCGAGCGGCAGTTTCCATTCGTGTTGCGGCCATGGCAAAATTGCTATTTCGTTGTTCGAAAATTTCCCCAGGAATTGGAAGATCTTTACAAAGGGGACACCCGTGAGTCGAAAGATTTTCGGGCGAACATTCGAAATTACAATAGCGGTCTAGCTATGGCTTCAATGACGGCCCAAATGGATGCTCCGCCCGGAAGAGGTCCACGGCCCTATCGGATCCATGGAGCAGTGTACCATTTGGTCGGCCCTATGAGACCACAGCCTGGAGAGCAAGCCCAATATGCCCAGATCTATATTATGGACACCGAGCAAGCGGCCAACGAGCTAGCCGGTCGTGCCATCAATCGGCACTGCGATCAGGGCCTTTTTGCCAACCTCCATCTCCTCCTGCAAAACGTCAATATCTATGTTCAATCATTGATGATGATGGCAGAGGTGTCAAAAGAGGAATCTGATCAAGCAGCAGCCGATGGGCGGGAAGCTCTCTCAGCGCAGTTGGTCTTTCGAACAGATAAAAAGGGACGACCAAAGACGGTTCAATGCGCCTACATCCAATGAGATTGCCGTTGTTTACGTTGGTGACGATGAGTCGATACCCGGCGAGCGCGTGTTCTATATCCACGAGCGAGACGGCGGCCTCAGGCAGATCCACTACTTGCAGAAAGAGTGCGAACCTCTCTGTTATCCTCTCTTCTTCCCTCGCGGTGGAGAGGGGTGGCACCCTAACATTCCGAAGCAAGTGGGAAATGCTGGCCGTCGTGGTAACTCTGATGATGACGAACCGGCTGTTGCCGATGATGGTCCGCCGAACCGGGTATCTCAACGAGAATATTTCGCCTATAATATGTTCGTCCGGCAAGGCTTCAATCCCATCCACCACGGCGGCAAACTTTGCCAACAATATTACGTGGATGCCTTCGCCAAAACTGAACAAAATAGGCTTAATTATTATCTGACTCACCAGCGTGAACTTCGGCTGGATACGGTCCGTGGCCTCACCGATCACATGAATTCCCATGGTCAAGGTCCTGCAGGCAGAAAGATTATTTTGGGCGCCGGTCATCAAGGCAGTGGTCGAAATTCGGTTGCGCAATATCAGGATTCAGTGGCCATTATGACCAAGTACGGAAAGCCAGATCTCTTCTTGACCATCACTTGCAATCCAAACTGGCGAGAAATTCAGGAAGGTCTTTATCCTGGCCAGACTGCAATTGATCGTCCAGATTTGGTTGCAAGAGTGTTCGAATTGAAAATGAGAGCACTCGATGAGGAACTTTTCAAAAAGCACATCCTCGGAGAAATGGCTGCCTATGTTTCGGTGATTGAATTCCAGAAACGAGGGCTTCCGCACCGTCATATGGTCCTATTTTTGAAGGAGGATTCAAAGCTCAGAACATCTGACGAGGTTGATAGCATCATCTCAGCTGAGCTCCCTGATTCCGACACAAATCCTGAATTGTTTCAATTGGTTTCGACCAATATGATCCATCGGCCTTGCGGTGCCCACAATCCTTCGTCGCCCTGCATGCAAGACAATACATGTTCTAAAGGATTCCCGAAAGAATTCAGAGATACCACTCTGATTTCAGACGGTTATCCCAAGTACAGACGCCGAGACCAGGGAAGGAATGTTCGGTATACGGTGAACCGGGTGGATGTCGTACTTGACAACCGTCACGTCGTGCCGTACAACCCTTACCTCCTGCTTCGGTTTGGTGCCCACATCAATCTCGAATGCTGCTTCTCCTTCGACTCGGTCAAATACCTCTTCAAATACGTCTATAAGGGTACTGACAGAGCTCGCTTCCAACTTCGTGATGCAAACAATGATGACCTTGGACCGGTCAATGAGATCGAACGGTACATACAGGGCCGTTATTTGTGCGCTCCCGAGGCTTGCCATCGTCTTTTTGCATATCCCATGCAAAAGAAGAGCGACAAAGTCATCCGACTCCAAGTACATCTTGACGGATTTGAAAATGTGGTGTTTGACCCAGAAGATGCACAGGCGGCACTAAATAGAGCTCGCACTCATAAGACCACGCTGAGCGCATTCTTTGCCATCAACACGCATATGCAGCATTTGGAGGATACCGGAGCAAGGACGGTTATGGTTAACGGTCAAAAGTGTCTGCAGATCGGGAGAAGGAGGGACGCAGAGAAGGTCTTAGATTCCAGAGAATTTTTCTATGGCCAAATGCCAGAAAAATATCGTATCGTTCAAGGCAAATGGGTGCAGCGAAAGAATGCGTCGCGGGTGATTGGCCGGATGTACCATGTCTCTCCACGAGACACGGAACGCTTTGCCATGAGACTGCTTCTGCTCTATACGAAAGGCCCCAGGAGCTTCGAACAACTGCGTACTATCAACGGCACTCAATACAACACCTATTTTGAGGCCGCCAAAGCAGCAGGATACATGAACGATGACTCTG